GCTTAATTCATATACGCGGGGTTTTCTCCATTCAAGAACTCGATGAATTCAAAATATCTCCTCGCTCCACTTCGCCTCGTATCCTTTCTCAAAGGTTACTTTTGCTCTACTGACGCGTACGAGATCGTCCACGCGATATTTAGCCTTTTGTTTACGCCCACGTTTCTTTTTCTTTTCTTTATCGTTATCCCATCGTCGTTTCATATTTTCGCAGGCGGTACGAGCATTTTCTCGCGTAACGACAGCGGATTGCATTTTGATGGTGGAATGACGAGTATGATTGTAAGCGTGAACAACATCTTGTAAAACATCAAAGTAACGACGTGTATTTTTATGCGTAAAATAACGCCACATCCGCTCCTTGAGTGTCCTATTAAATCGTTCCACTATAGACGCTTTAATATCGGGATTGCGCGTTACACGAAAACGAATGTCTTTTTCTTTTAAGAAATTTTGTACAGGGCGGGCGATAAATTCTTTGCCTTTGTCGGTCTGTAAGTATACAGGTAGTTGACCCTCGTTTCTCGAAAATATTTGTTGAAAGGCCTTTATTACGCAGGTGGCTGTTTTGTCACGTAAAGGTTCTACCCAAAAAAATTTACTAAGCACATCGATAACCTTTAGTAGATAAGAATAACCGTCATTATAGCTTTTGAGATTACGAAGATCGATCAAATCGGCTTCCCATAAATCATCGATATTTGTTACGTTATAATGTAAACAAGAAAATTTTTGTCGTACCGGACGATGCAGCGTGTATGCATCCTACGATTTAAGCCACTCGACGACTTTGTTACGCGTAAAATTCGGTTTAACGGCTCGCGATAAATTGTCCACCGCAGAGTAGCCTGCATAATGCGAGGGCTCGTAATACAATTTTTCGAATTCCATCAATTAAGATTTATCCAATCGAGTAAATCTCTTCTTCTCTTTGACGGAGAAACTACGCTATGTGCTAATGTTCTTTCGTCGTCACCGTCGTCGTCACCTTTCTCGTCGGCGGATATAAATTGCGTATCTCCTTCGGTTTCACTCGCTTCGTCTAACCTGTGACTGTACGATTTTGAACGTGTGATCGGAGTGGAGGATCCGCGAGGTAACGCGGAAGTAATATAGCGAAATCGCGCGCCTGCTTTTAATAACTTTTGATTTTCTATGAGACGCGGTGACGTACCTATGTCACGTAGTAATCGAGCAAACTGATTTCTTCCGGTTGCTTCTACCGTTTTCTCTCGCGTACCGCATCGTTTATAAGTTCCGCGATATTCGAACCCTCCACAATGTCGCCGTCTATAGTTACGAGCCCTTGTCTATTCCAGCTAATCTTAGATAACGGAGTAACGAGCAGATGCTTCATTAGTAAGCGTGCTTTACTACGATAAGTTTTCGGAACACTATTAAGTACTTTTTGTATTATTTCCGCTGATTGAACGCGTTTTTTCTCGAAACTACTACTAACGGCGCTAATGTTACCGTCGTTGCTAATTAAAGTTTGCGTTTCCATAAGTTCATCGTCATCATCGAAGTTATCATCCTCTTGCTCTTTCGTGTCTTCGTCCTGCTCTCCATCGCGTTCACCGCTGGCGTGCACGTCTTTGCGTAAACGTTTTCTCGCAGCACGAATAAACTGAAGATAACGCTGAAGTACCTCCTTATACATTTTCCATCTTTCGTCCTCGCTGACCTGAGGCGTGAGATTCAGAATACGCCACATCTCTGCATCGAGCCGTGACAAAGGAGTTTCCGGGGTCCGTACGAAATTATTAGTATCATTTTTCACATTCGATATCTCGGTAATTTTATTCGATGAATTATCGACCGGCGCGTTAGAGGAAATTTCCGGTTGTTGCTGCAGTCTTTCGAGATTTTCCGACAAAATTAGAACCATTTTTTTTGCTCTTTCCATTATTGAATTGTAAATATTTTATCTTTTTCACATTTGACGCAACAAATATACACAGAATAGCGCCCCTTTTTTAATCTCCAATGATCCGGGATAATATAGCTCCGAGTATAGGAGCAATAAGATAGGGTAAGAATCGTTGCACCAATAGTTTTCCCTTAACTTTCAAATTACCTTTTTTCGCAGCAATACGCTGTAGGATCGATTTATGTCTAGCAAGGCGTTTTTTTTCACTATTCGCAAGCGGAACGTTACCTTTAAGAGTATTGAAAACGTACTCTTGAATACACTTTATGAGATTATTATTGACGGTACGTAAAAACGCTGTTCTTTGATTTTTTTTCAGATAACATAAAGTTTTCAAAAGATTCGTGTTTCTTTCGCCGATAGATCGTCTAGCGATTTTTACCGCGCCGTCGGATGAATTCTTCGACGACAATGATGCCGGTTGCGATTTTTTTTCTTTTTTTACCATCGCAGTGTAATTGCACGAGTGAGAAGTCGTGTGTGAATACGAGTCTTTTATACGTCTCCGCCTCTTTTGATCGATCTACGTGGAATGTACGCGTAATGCAGCTTATTGTTGGGAAAGATACACGTCCGAAATCGATATTCATCTGGAGTCGATTGTTTTAAATCGAGCAATAAATACCCGTGAGACTTCGAGGTAGCATCGTAGTACGCTTCTTCCATAAACTTAGAATCGTCCGGATATACTTGACGCGCTAAATGCCGAATTTGCGCGCGATTGCGTGGATTTTTGAAAACTACTATGTTATTCGCATTGAGAGATATGTCGCGTTGTCCGCGTCCCTGATGGAAGAGATTTTGCGAAATGAGAATAACACTGAGATTCTTATGATGGCTTCCTTTAGTAAACAGATCTACGATAACATCGCACGATGACGACTCTCTCATAAGATCGTCGATTATCACTAATTTCGGGGTAAGTGGATCGTAAGAATAATCTTCCGGGCGCGGTAAATCCTCGTGAAATTCGATTATATTTTTCTTCGAATTTATCGGAACGCTATTTGCATATACGTTCTTTTTTCTTACGCTACTCTTTTCTTCTCTTTCATTTTCATCGCATTGCAGGCGTTGATAGGCATCTTGCCACTCGGCAAGATAAAATTATAATAAAATAAAATTCTCTCGAATCGAGTATCGGACACGTCGGACAAATAACAAAGAAATGTTTTCACAAAAATTGTTTTTCCACATCTCGTAGGCCCGCAGACAATCGACGTCCAAAGATGTTTCCAGCGCACATCCATTTCCCAAAATGAACGCGATATTCACCGTTTACGTACAATCTCGTAAATGAAAAAAAGTCTAATCCGGGACGTTCTTAAAAACAAAAAATTAGCGTAAAGAGCGCCCGCATATTTAAATTTTAATATTACTCATAGTATAAAATGAGTACGGCGGAAAAAGCTTATTCGCGCACCGGGGACCAACCCGCGGCGGTCGCATGCTCGTGCTAGCGTACACCGAATAGCGCCGATCAGCTGATGAGCGTCTGGTTAGCTCGCAACTACCGATCAGTTGATGAGCGCCTGGTTAGCGCACCGCTACCGTTCAGCTGACGAGCGCTACGTTGCGCTGCCCACAATCAGCTTTTAATCAAATGTTCTTGTTGGTGTATATGTCTTGTGATAGTAGACGTATGTGAGTTCGGCACGAATATATTTGAATATATAAAAATCGTACGTAACAAGAATTTTTAAAAATTAAATATTTTATGTTAAAGTTTTTCAGACAAAAAAATTTATTTTAAAAATTTTGTTAAAAATTTTATATTTCACTAAATAAAAATGATTTCGCTTAAAAGGTTAATTATTATTATTAAAACTAGGGTGGGGAAACAATATTTTTTATTAAAATATTAAAATTTTTATTAGTGAACAATATTTTTTATTAAAAATATAAATTTTTGTATTTATATTTACAGAGTATTTTTTTCTTATTACTAATATCTACATCTTCTAACTTTAGTTAAACTACTCCTTGTCCTTCCTATTTGTGCAAAAACCTTCGAATTTTTTTTCTCACAGAACGAAAAATATTTATTTGATTACTGGTTCGAGTATTTGTACGGATTAGGCAGGATGTGATCTTAATAAATTACTCGTAGTTTGTTAAATGTGTGAGTTTATTCAAAATAATTAAAGTAAAAGTAAACTTGATTCGCTATCTCGGCTTTGCTCGCGAAAAACTCGAACGAGCTCTTGGGATGATCGTTCTCCACCGAGCTCTTTGGGCCGACTTCTCTTCAAAATACGCAGGATCGACGGCAATGGCAGTCGATTGATTCTTCGCTTGGACGCGTGGCACGCGCGTGCAGAAAACGTGATTCGCTAGCGAGGCTCAAAAGCTCGAGACAAAAGCGCGTTTTTGTCAATTTCTCGCGCTCGGAATCGAAAATACGCGGAAAAACAACTCGGCGGCAAATATATTCGCGACCTTGCTTTAGCATTCTCGCAAGGCTTTTATAATTTTAAACATACCGCCCGCCTTGCATGCGAACGGATGCAAAACTATTTAACCGCTCAACAAGTAAAGTACAAATACAATCGGTGTTGATATAGGAATAATAAAGCGAGAGCTAAGAAAGCAAACATCTATACAAAATAAACTCAATATATTTCTACATTGTCAGGACGACTTACGGAACAATAGAAATATAAGCACTGAATACATCACAAGTCACAAAGTCCTTTATATGACAATGTTTTTCTTAATTATCGCACTGAACTGGCAGTCTACACAGTAGCGTGATTGGTCGTTTCAATATTGAACGCGCGGTTCTTACGGTAACTACTCGAACGAGTCCGTCGGATCCGGGATGGACTCGAGTGACTCGCGCGAGTTCCCATTTGCTCGGAGGGAGCAAAAGATTTTTTAACAACGTGAGCTCGCCAACGCGAAAACAAGGCGATCTTTCTGACCACTTATGTCGCTGTTGCAGCAAATGTAAGTAGTTTTGCGACCAAGCACGCCAGAGTTGTTCCACTATCGAATGGACGAACTGCCATCTCGAAAGTCGATTCGTATCTATCGCGAGTACTGATTCTTCCGGTATCGCAACGATCGGTCAGCCTATTAAAAAATGACCCGGAGTGAGCGCGGACAGATCGCTCGGGTCGTCGCTAAGAGCCGCAATCGGTCGGGAGTTCAAACATGCCTCTATCTGGCATAGGAGCGTAGCGAATTCAGCCTGCGACAGGGTACGTGAACCGGCTATCCGCTTTAGATGCGATTTGAGGCTCTTCACGCCCGCTTCCCAAAGTCCTCCGAAATGAGGAGCTGCGGACGGGATAAAATGCCACTCAATTTTATTGTTAGCAAGAACGTCGCGTAGAGACAAATCTTTCATGAGCGCCTCAATATCGCTGTTTAATTTCTTTTTAGCGCTGTGAAAGTTAGTCCCGTTATCAGAATATAACTTACACGGTAAGCCTCGTCGGCTCGTGAATCGCCGAAAGGCAGCAAGAAATCCAGCACTGGAGCAATTCTTCACTAGCTCCACGTGGATCGCCTTGGTAGCGAGACAAACGAAAAGGGCCACGTAACCTTTTCGTGTCCTTTGTCCTCTTCCAACGAAAGGCGTAATAAAAAAAGGACCAGCGTAGTCCACACCCGTATGCGTAAACGGTGACGACGGTTGCACGCGAGGAGAAGGCAAATCCCCCATCAGCTGACTCGATACTCTGGCTGAATAACGTATACACGAGACGCATTGCCTTATATGATTTTTCACTAAATTTCGACCTCCTAGCAACCAATATCTTTGTCGGAGTGTACGCAACACTAATTGAACTCCACCGTGGAGAGTGTGTTTATGAGCCTGAGCGATTAAAAGGTACGAGACTTGTCCTCGCGGTACTAAAATAGGATGTTGCTCTTCGTAAGTGAAAGCAGCATTTTTCAACCGCCTGCCAAGGCGGAGTACTGCATCTTTGCCAACAAATGGAGTTAAAGTTCTAAGTGAACTTTTTTTTGAAACTGCGTTGCCTTTCTTTAGTACTTTGATTTCGAATTCAAAAGTCCTCTTTTGTACGTACGACAGCCAAAATAATTCCGCTTTATTAAGCTCGTTGACACTCAGCGACGAGGTTGAAATTAACTTTCCTTTTCCTATCAATTAACGCGAGAAATATACACACGTAAGCAGTTACTCTTATCAGCTTTGTCCAACTTGAGAATTTATAGAGCAAATTCCACTCGTCTGACCCTTCAACGTGAAGGACGGTGGGTTTTCGTTGCTCGCTAGATATCCTTTGTACTGCATCCATGGAGAGTGGAGCAGTAACGTCATGGATCGGCCAGGACGTGAAAGGCTCTTGAAGTCAGGGTGGTCCGGTCCACCACAGAGGATGTGATATTATTCGGACGCGGACAAGCCTCGAGACGCATAATCCGCGGGATTGTCTCTCGACGGCACGTGATACCATCTTGCAGAAGACAAGTTATTTTGTACCTCTGATACTCGATTGGCCACATACGTGGTCCACTTAATGGGATGCTGGCGTAGCCATGCCAGCGCGATTGTTGAATCCGTCCAGCAATAGATCGGAGTTTTCACTAAATTTAACGAATTAATCGTTTACTTTATTAGGCGACTTAACAACACGGCGGCGGTTAACTCGAGTCGCGGAATGCTCACGGTTTTTACTGGGGCGACCTTTGTTTTTGCAGCGATCAAACTAATTGTAAAATCCGACAATGAATGAAAGACGCGAAGATATACTACCGCGGCATACGCTCGATTTGACGCGTCGGAAAATCCGTGGATTTCAATCGCTATATTGTCTGGATTTTGACCCGTCCATCGCGTAATTCTAATTTTCTCTAATTTATTAAAATCTGAGACAAAGTCATGCCATCGTTGTTCTAACTTGTCGGAGATGCGCGTATCCCAATCGCATCGCGAAAGCCACAGCTCTTGCAAAAGAATCTTCGCGGTAATTACGACGGCCCAACCGAGCGGGTCATATAATTTTGCCACGAAAAGATAGTACGTTTCGTTGGAGCAACGGATTTGATTGAATTGACAATGAGGCAAAAGGAGTCCTCGAAAGGAATCCACGAAAGTCCGAGCACTTTAAGAGACTCATCCGGCAATATAAGGTGATCGTTGACTTCCGGTTGATCGTGCGAAAGATCACGGAGAAGCTCACGCGTATTCGATGCTCATTTTCGGAGTTGAAAACCTCTTCTCCTCATTAGTTCAATTAATTGAATTCGCGTATCGTTTAGTAAATTCATATCGTCGGCGCCAAACAAAGTGTTGTCTACATAGATCGATTCATTTAGAATCGGAACCGCGGCGGGGTAATTGAAACCCTCATCAAGAGCGAGTTGTTTGAGAACGCGCATCGCGAGATACGGAGCCGGAGCAAGACCGTATGTAACCGTTAAAAGTCGAAAGTGTTCGACCGGTGCGTCATCCGTTGGACGCCAAAGAATTCTCTGAAAGTCTACATCTTCGGAATGTACGCGAATTTGTCGGAACATCTTGGCGATGTCCGCCGTATAGACGTGGCGCCATTTACGCCAACGTGAAAGAACAGCAGGAAGGTCCTGCTGTAATTTAGGCCCGATTAATAGATGGTCATTCAACGTCGTGTCGTTCCGCGTTTTGCACGAAGCGTTGAAAACTACGCGCAACTTCGTAGTACAACTGGTTTCCCGCAGCATTGGATAGTGTGGGATGTAAACCGGCAAAAATTTTGTTTTTTCCGACTTGTTCACTCGAGTCATGTGTCCGAGAGATTCGTACTCCGCAAGAAATTCATTATACTGCGAGTGAATTTCGGACCGATTACGTAATTTTTCTTCCATGCGGTTATACAAGGAACACGCGATGGATTCCCCGATGTCGATCGGTGGATCGCGCTTAAACGGCAGTCGAACTATATACCTTCCGTCGGAAGAACGACTATGTGTCTTGACGAAATGCCGTTCACACCTCTCTTCTTCTTCCGTGAGAGGAGAATTCGACGAAATTTCCTCGTTTTCCCAAAACTTTTGGAGAAGCGAGTTAATGTCCTCGGCGAGGACGCTATTTACCACGGCTGCTTCCTTTGAAGCTTGGCTGTTTTTTCCAGTGGGGCCGGAAATTATCCACCCGAGCGCGGTTAATTGAGCGGTGGGAGTTCCGAGAGGTCCCTGCCGCAAATCGCGCATCAAAAGCGATCCGTAAACGTCCGCCCCAATCAGCATATGAATCTGATGCTTGCTTGACGGATCCGGATCCGCTAGGGAGATGCCTTGCAAATGAGGCCACGAGTCAACAGGCTTAGTTCGCGACGCGGCGTACGACGTGATTCGTTGAAACACGTACGCGGTAATCGGAAACGCGGGATTCGATTTCTTGGACGGTGTCAATCGCAAGGACACTCGTGATCTCGCAGCACCGGTATGTTTCTCACCAAATCCTTTAATTTGCAAATCGGCTCGCTGCCTTCCGGTTCGTATCGTTTGGCACAATGCTTCCGAAATAAAACTAAAATTGGATCCTTGATCCAACAACGCGCGAACCTTAAATGATCTACCCTCCGCGGTATGCACGTCAACCCACGCAGTCGCGAGAAGAACGGTCGGAGATGCGATGCTCGGCGATTTAATTGTTTGAACGCTTGCGACAGTAGCATTGTCGGAAACGGGCAAGGAGTCCGTTTTCGAAATCGGCGGTACGCTTGTCCTGGTCGACGCCGAACTTTCATTTATGTCTGACGCTTGACCGCTCGCGTAATGCAACAATGTATGATGCGATTGGCGACAGTGGGTGCATCGCTGCTTGTGCGTACATTTCGGCGAAATATGTCCCGGTTTCATGCAATTAAAGCAGACTTTACTCTTACGTGCAATTTCACTTCGCTGCGCAGTCGATTTTCGGCGAAATTCTTCGCACTTACAATTAGTAACAAAGTGATTGCCCAAACAACAAATACATTTTACTGCAGCGACATTATTAATTGACGACCGCGGCTTGTCGCGCTTTGCATTAGTACTTTCCGTTGAAATGTCAGCAAAGTCTGATAATCCACGGATGCACATTGTGAGAAAATTGTGAATGTTTCTATAAGACGGAATCGAATCCATAGTGGAACGTCTCAAGTTCCACTCGCTGCGTGTTTTAGCACTGAATTTTTGAGATATAATATATACCAAGAGATCATCCCAATGACCAACCGGTCTTTGCAGATTATTCAGCGCGGCGATTGATGCAGCCACTGTGTCGCGCAATTTTCTTAGATCTACCGCGTTTTCATGCTTCATGACAGGCAAACTCATAAACGCATTTAAATGAGAATAAATTAAAGTTAATTTATCGTCGTATTCGTCGATCAAAAGTTGCTACGCGGACGTGTAATTTTCCTCCAAAATTCTCAAATTATTAATTATTAAAGCAGCGTCTCCGATAACGCTTGTTATCAAATAATAAAATTTCTGCGTATTTGACAGCGTATCATTTCTAGCCACGAGTGACTCGAAAGTATTTTTGAAACTTTCCCAATCGGAAAACTTGCCGGAGAATTTCGGAAGAGTAATCCGCGGCAACTGAAAATGATTATTATTGCTATCGCGAATGGAAGAATCCGTACTGCGATCTAACGAAATCGGAGTTTGACTAATTGTAAGCCGACTTATCGTGTCTTGAAGAAGGTCAGCCGTCTCGAGGTAGATTTCTTCTGCCGTCAGGAATTCTTCTTTGAGGAAGTACGGCAGAGTTTTTCGATTCTCCGGGGTAGCCTCGAGCTGTATCCTGGCATGAAGTCCACGGCAGGAAACCCAAAGTGACTCCAGGTTTGTGAGACGCCCTTGCGTCTTGGGCAATGTGATATTAGCCTTCGCTAACTTCTTAAAGTTCACGATGACTCTTTGCAACGTGTCGATTGTCTCGCTCTGTTCGGCGAGTAAAACCTTTAACTCGGCCATTATAACCGCGAGTTAAAATCGTTGACAAAAAATGTCACAGAATGAGCGTCACGGTTTTTCCTAGGCGCGTATAGCTGCGCCGTCGGAACTTAAGTTCGCGACGAAAACTTATTTAACGCACCGTGCGAGCAATTATGCCGACGGTGTTTTATTCGCGAACGATATCGTATCAAAACGCGAGAGACATATATTTGTCCTCAGAGACCGCACTAACAATAAGACTTACGCGCTATTCGAAGATAACGATCTAATGCTAGTAAAAAACTTCAATGCCAAATTATTCGAAGCACAATGGAAAGGTCCATTTTCTGTTGTTCGACATGATAACTTTATAACATATCATATCAGAGAGAATAGACTAGTAAAACAATATCACAGAAGTGATATTAAACCTTTTATTTCAGACGATCAAAATGGATCTGAGACGAGCTATTTCAATATGTCTTCTCGTAATTCTTCAGTATCATCCTATTAGCTGCACAGAGAAATATTCTATCAAGCAACTGGAGTATGATGAAGTAATTTATCTCGAAACCTTAAGTAAAGTAAAATTGCATCATGAGCAATAGAGAATTGTAATGGGATACGATTTATTTGAATTAAAAAAAAAATATCGAGTTCTTAGAACCACATATACTCAATTGCTTAAAGAGTGTTCTCGTCAAATTAATCATCAAGAATGGACTTGTTCCTCAAAGAATCGTTGTCACGTCCTATTAACCTTCCTACTCTCTCAATTCCTAGGCTAGAAAGAACAGGGCGCTCTCTATTTTTTATGAGGCAACCTGCATACACCGGCTATACCTCAGGGACGCCGAAAGCACGGACTATACTATGGAACTAGGGCTCGAGTACTGGGACGTTGGCGAGAGAGAATTTTAGTTACTAGTGAGAAAAGGATTTCTACTAGCAATTCTTCCTAGACTGTCCAATGAATTGATTAATTGATTGACTGTAATTTCCCATTTAAGTAATTATTAATTAATAAATTAAGTAACAAAAATATTATATAATTCTCGCATTTAGAGTCTTGAGAATTCCTCATTGGGACCTTTTATTGAACAATTATTTAGATTACACGATGGATCTGGAATGTTATCTAAACAGACAAGAAATTGATCAAGATCGATATTTCCTTCCAAGACGTCTGTTAATAAAGCAATAATTAGTCTTATCACCGTATGAATTCCTTATTGATTAATTTTTGGTTTTCTTTAATAGTGCATTCTGTTGACATTGGAGAAATAATTTAAATATTTAAATAACTAGCATATTGATTGATTTTAAATAAGATGTCCGGACACTGTTCTTCTAGAAATTTGATTAAATCCTAGGAGATTTCTTCCTCTGTTTGCAATACTAAATCGCACAATTCTGTGAATAATGATGATTCAAAAATGTCGAGTATAAAATCAAATGAATTAGGTAGTTCATCGATTGAGGGTTCGATTATTGTGTCGGGAAAAGTTCCTTCGTCCGTAAAGAGGGTTTTGTCAAGTGCTTGTCGTCGGAGCCAACGTAAAGTAGATGCGGCGCGGTTAGCTCGTGTTTTCTTACGTGCTCTATGATTACATTTTTTCCGACATGCGATTTTCTGTTTCCGCGTCTTCATGCGGCATAGAATGGTAGTAAAATATTTAATTTAATAAGGGGATATTATTAAGGAGATATTAATAAGGGGAATGTACTGATGGAGATTACATCAATATAGGTTTATTGCCGTATTAATTTTTTCGTTGATTTACCGCTGGATTCTGTCAATTGTATTTAAGTGGACATTAGAAAAATAATTTAAATATCTAGATAATTAGCATATTGATCGATTTCAAGTAATTTGTCTGGACACTGATCTTTTAATGACTGTATTAAGTCCTTACGATGAGGTTGTTCCCAAAAGGTATTCTCCTCTATTTACAATACTAAATCACACAATTCTGCAATTAGTAATTGTTCAAAAAACTGATCTTTTAATGTTTGTACTTCATCTTTAGGATAGAATTCCGGGGAAGTATTTTTTCCCACTTGCGATACTCATGTAATTTTACAATTAGTAATTGCTCGGAAGAATCAGTTTCTGAACTAGATATATTAGGTGGTTCGTCTGGCAAGGATTCTATTCCTGTGTCAAGGAAAATTCCTTTGTTTGAGATTGGTGATAACTTGGAGAAGTTAGTTCTGAGATTAAAATAATTAAGTGCTTCTTTTATCGAGGGATCAATTGAACTTGGTAGATCAGTTATCAAGAATTCAAAGGAATTAGGAGGTTTGTTGATCGACGGTTCGATCTCAGTATAAGGGGGAGTTCCTTTGTCTGTGACGAGTTTATTGTCAAAATCTAGTTGAATAGATGAAGTCTTTAATCTTTTATAGTCTCCAGAGAAATGGCAACTATTTCACACAATTTGATGCAAAGTTTATTTTTCAATGACTGTCGTCTGAGCCAGAGCAAGGTCGACGCGGCGTGGTTAGCACGATTTTTCTTATCTGCTCTATGATTACGTTTCCTCCGATATGCGATCTTCTGTTCTCGCGTCTTCATTTATTATATGTCATAGAATAGTAATGGAATATCTATTTTAATTAGAATATATTACTAGGAGGATACTACTAGGAGGGAGGGGTGCTGAAGGAAATTACTTCAAAATAGATCGTGTCTTTTACATGCTCCTAATCTCAAAATCAAAAGGAGAGTCAAAGAATAGGGGACTTTTGATAGAAAATAATCAAGATGTTGATGGGAGAGTTGCCTTCGGTGCGCTATTCAGTGCTCGAGGCGATGAAAATATGAGGATGCGAGGTAGAAAGTTACCTGAATGCAAACTTGGTAACGTGGTAATCAAGGTTGGACCACGTCCGAATTAAATTAAATTAAAGAACTAGTTGAAATAACATTTATTAGATAATTAACCTCTTAGTACCGTTTGTCAGTCGAGGCCGCTTCGGGCTGAACTGTGACGATGGAGTTTTAAAGGGTGTTGGTGGGAGAATTACCTTCGGTGCGCTATTCAGCGCTCGGGGTGATGGAAACGGGAGTGGTTCACTTGGACACAGTTCAAATAGACACAGTGCAAATGGACACAGGGCAAATGGACACAAAATTTTCTACACGGCTCAATTGGACACAGTGCAAATGGACACAGTGCAAATGGACACAAAATTTGATACCTACAATATTAGACACTGTTAAGATATACACTATTAATTTGTACACCGTTAATTTATACACCGTTTATTTGTACACCGAAATTTGTACACCAAAATTTGTACACCAAAATTTGTATACCGTTTACTTGTACACCGTTCAGATATACACCAAAATTTGTACATTGTTCATTTGTACACCGAAATTTCTACACCGAAAGTTGTACACCGAAAGTTGTACACGGAAAATTCTACACGGAAAGTTATACACCGAAAATTCTACACGGAAAGTTCTACACGGAAAATTCTATACGGAAAGTTGTACATGGAAAGATCTACACGGAAAGTTGTACACCGAAAGTTCTACACGGAAATTTCTACACGGAAAGTTCTACACGGAAAGTTGTACACGGAAAGTTCTACACGGAAAGTTCTACACGGAAAGTTCTACACGGAAAGTTGTACACCAAAAGTTGCACATCGAAAGTTGTATACCGAAATTATTGGACATCTTAATTATTTTGTGAATATTAATGTTTTTATATTTGTTACTTATTTTTGAACTCAAAGACTCTCGATTCTGAATAATTATAATTAAATTCCGATATTATGTGAAGTTGTATAAATTTATATTTCAAGAATTATACTGAAGAAGACCGCGTGCGGTCGAAACGTTTATAGAATGATTTTAATTTGCGTTAGTTTTAATATCTAATGACTGTAGTTTTATAATTTATACATGTAATAAATGGTAGTTGACTGAACATCTCGAATATTCAGCTCGATAAGTTGGCCTTAGATTTATCACTTTGTTTTCAATATACGAGCGATAATTTGTATTAATTTACTTATTTTTTATTAACATTTATGAAAAGAAGCTTTGACATACAGATATAAAAGAGATAAAGGATGGACTAATGAGAACATCGAGCAGAATCAAGACGCAAATTTGTTGAAAATTTATTATAAAAATGAGGGATAAACAGATAATGTGCGAAAAAGAATATAAATTTAAGACATGTTTTTTATTTAATATTCAAACAAGCTGTACAAAAGTTTTTTGCGTAATATTTTTGGCAATGTTCACAACTTTTATAATTGTATTTTATATAATATAGGACAGTGTTTTTATTAATGTAGTATTTATTTTATATTTTATTCCTCAATATAAAAAAATACCACGTTTAAAATATTCTATT